CTCTATATACCAAGGAAACCTATGAAGCAGGGCTGCTAGTTTTTCAAGTTTTCTGCGACTCACATAAGATTCCCGAAGAACAGAGATGTCCCATCTCTTCCAACCTGCTCTTAACATTTCTATCGAGCTGCACAGGTGCATATTCGGGCTCGGCCTTATCTAACTATGCTGCAGGTCTTAAAGCATGGCACTTGCTGCATGGCCAACCATGGATCATAAATGCTAAAGAACTCAAAGCCACGTTAGATGGCGCCACAGCTCTCGCTCCCATGTCATCTAAATGAGACAAGCGCAATCCTTTCACTCCTAATATCATCATCAGTATTCGAGAACACTTAGACCTTAATAATCCCAAGGACGCTGCAATCTTCGCATGCATCACAACATCCTTCTATGCAATCGCGTGCCTAGGAGAATTCACTGTACCATCTCTTAAACTTTTCAACCCTCTGAAGCACATCACCCGTGCTCATGTCACACAGAAAACAGATCGCAACAACCTACCCGTCACATCATTCTTCCTGCCGAGTATGAAATCCTCTCCTCTGAAAGATGAAGAAGTCTACTGGTCCGCTCAAGAAGGTCTTTCAGACCCCAAAGCGGCTCTAGAGAACCACCTGAGACTCAATCCAGCCGAAAATTCAGCTCACCTTTTCGCCTGGAAGCACCCCAGTGGCCTCCGCCCACTCTCAAAGAAAGAGTTGACCAAGCGCATCAATCAGATCTCCTCTCTGTCGAACTTACCCAATCTCAAAGGCCACAGCCTTCGCATTGGTGGTACATTAGAATACCTCCTGCGTGGAGTTCCATTCGATGTCATAAAAGCGATGGGCAGGTGGTCGAGCGATGCCTTCACCACTTATCTTCATGACCACGCTATAGTGATAGTGCCGTACATACAAGCATCACCAGCTCTCGAGCCTTTCATGCACATAACAATGCCACCAGTGCGTTAACCTTTAGAATGAGTACACCTCCTTTTTCCCTGGGGCCACAAGCTGCACTGTATGCGTTGTTTTTCATCACTCTGTTGGATTATTCTTGTTTTATCATTCTTGGATATAGCTGGCTCACCCTACACAATCCATTGATTGACTGGGTTTTTGGCAGCATCGATTTTTGAACAACTTCTCATGGAATGCCTTCAACACCTCCAATGTTGCTTCCATCTCTGGATCCTCATCCTCTGATGGAAGAATTGCCTCCGCTGACTACATCCGGAATCTCTGCTGATAAAACCATCCCTAGTATTTCCTTGATAAATGCAGTTGCCTTTTGCCAGGCCTGCAAATTGGAAGGATCAGAACAGTTCAGCATCTACCTTTGTCCTACCAGTGTAGACCTCTGGTCCATTACCCTTTCGTCCGATCCTCCAGACCTATCCACAATTCCTCTGGAATATCATAAATTTATGGATTTGTTTGACAAGGGCAAAGCTAGCCAAATTCCTCCTCATCGTCTCTATGATCTCAAGTTAGAGGAAGGAACTGATCCGCTCCTCAGAACCATTTATTCCCTATCTGCAGTTGAGCTTGCAGCCCTCTGAAAGTTTCTTGACAAAAACATTTCCCCTGGTCTCCTCCATTCCTCATCCTCTCCTCACAGAGCTCCTGTCCTATTTGTCAAGAAAAAGAATGGCCTCCTTTGCCTCTGTGTGGATTTCCATGGACTTAACCGGATTATCAAGAAAGACTGATATTCATTACCTCTCATTGCCGACCTTCTAGACTCTCTGAGCCGCGCTAAAGTCTATACCAAAATCGACCTCCAATCTGCTTATCACCTCGTCCGGATAGCAGAAGGAGATGAATGGAAGACTGCATTCCAAACACATTATGGCCCCTATGAATGGTTGGTGACGCCGGAAGGTCTCACTAACACTCTGGCCGCATTCCAATGCTTTGTCAACAATGTGTTTGCTGATATGCTGGATGTATGTGTTATCGTATATCTGGACGACATCCTCATCTATTCCCAAGACCTTGCATCCCATAAGAAACATGTCTGAGAAGTTCTCCTCCATCTCCAAAAACATCAACTCTATGCTAAACCCGAAAAATGTGCATTCCACACTACATCTGTTGAATACCTTGGTTACCTCCTATCTCCAGACGGCTTAACCATGTCGTCCAAGAAGATCCAAGCCATTGTTGATTGGCCAGAACCTTGGAAAGTTAAGGATATTCAATTTTTCCTTGGATTCACAAATTTCTACTGTCAATTTATTTTAAATTACTCAGACATTGTAGTTCTGCTCACCCGTCTTATCCGCAAGGGGGTTACTTGGGACTTTTCCAAAGATTGTCGGAAGTCTTTTGAAACACTCAAGAAAGCTTTCATGTCCGCTCCGGTGCTTATGTACTAGTTTCTAGGGAATACCAAGTAGATCAAAGTAAAGAATAGAATACAATGATATCTGTCTAAGTTATATAGGCGTATGCTATAAGGTTCAGTAGGAGCCTGTATCATGAATCTATCTGAGTCAGAGATAAGATGAGGTGAGGCAAGCCTTGCTTGTCTGATAAGATGCATGAGGTGCCTCTTCTGTGTCAAGAGACATACATGAGGTGCTCCGGCCTAAAGGTCCATCAACACATGTAGCAACATGCATTGGTCTAGTTCTACATGAGGTGTACAGCCATAATGATGGGATTGGGAGGCCTTCCGGGCCATAGTGAAGTCATAACGGTTCCAGACCATTTATCAGTCAGGACCTAGGCTAGGTCCGGCAATGTTATTGTAACACAAGCATACTGCGGACCGTCATTTGGCAATCAAATTTGTTGTTCATGGCATCTCATACATGATTTTTCCCCCTACTGTGAAACGTACTGTATTTGACTATGAGAGAAGTCCAAGTCCGCCGCTATTTCCTCAATCTCATCATGTTCATTGAAAAATCTTTGAAAATGAGAACCTCTTGAATCAGGGATTTTCGACCACTGGGGTGGCGGTACCAGGGTCAATTTCAGTTCCTTGCAGCCAAACACAAGAACGGCACACTCTCACTGATTGTATGAGACATTCATCATCTGCTTTTGACATCCGCTGACATTCAGCTAGCTCACTCTCCCCCGGTAGCAAATGTATTTCTTGCCTTTCAACCAAAAGGCAACACTACACTGCAGTACTCCACCAGTCATCCCACTCCTGCTGATACTACAATGACTAAAAATCATGTTTTTCCACAGCTGGAAGGCATGATACCGCCACCTCCTGGTGCACTTTCTAAACCATCTGCAGGAGGGTATGCCCTAAAAGAGGTCCTTGGATGGGAAGATCTGACATATAGAACTGTGCAGGTCTGCTCCTTGCCATATTATATTGTTTTATCCTCATATGACTGAAACAAAAACAGAAAAAATTGCATTCAATTTGTCGGATACACCTCACAACTGGGCAGCCTTTCCATGAGCAGACTACAACAGCTCTATCAAATTATTGTATTGCTGTTCGTCTTTCTCTTTGAGCACCTAGTCTATTTTTGATTTTATCAAAGGCTCTAAAGGAATATCCTATCCTTGCTAACTACTCTGATCAGTGGCCAGCCAGAGACTTTGCAAAGATGTATCTGAAGAATATCACATCGCAGAAAAATGCCAATCATAGATTTAGTAATCAATAAGGGAAGCAGCAGCGCAGTTTGTAAGACATGCAATTAATGCTGTATAAATTTGATTTTACTGCCTGCATGTTTGTATATTGTAGCGGTGCGTGCGCACCCAGACCGAAATCTATGTAAAAGGTGGGTGACATTCCTATTTGTTTTTGTGATGATTTCTTAGATCTGTATCTATCTCATTTTGTGCTTAGACATCTATATTCATGTATCAGCCTGATTCTAGTCAATTTTCACTGGGAGTCAGGGATCCACTAGTGTGGTCGCTATGTTGCTGCACATCTTGTACTGTTGGTCTCTTCAGTTGTGTCTGTTTGTGTAAAGTTGTGCGAAGCAATGAACATACGTCCTTAATTCAACTACAACTTGGGTGCATGGGCCACAAAATTAGGTACTGTATAGCCTAGCGATGTTTCCTGGGAAGATAATACTGTAGTGATGGTCGATGTAAGTATCCAAGTTCCATAGCCCTCCAAGACATCTGGAGATTGTAATTCATCTATGTTCTTCAACCAGGTATAAAAAGTCTCCACAAGCCAAAGTATCAGTTCACAAGCAGATGGTAAGTTGACCCACCATGCCAAAACACCGCGGTAGATGGTGTCAGCGACTGATAAATCCTAGAGACTCGTGTTAAACCACTGGTATTGAGAAACTCAAAGATATTACCAAAATAATACCTGAACTTCCCTGGTGCACGTGTAAGGCTTAATTTTAGAAAGTACAGAATTAAGCTCACCGCATCAATGATCAAACGGTTAGCTAACAAAAAAAGGAAATACAGAGCAGCAACCCCACATAAGATTTTCAACAGCTCATCAAACATGTGGAAGTCACTCGGTGTCACACACAAGTGTCGAATAGTCAGATGCTACATGTCAATGCAAGGTAGTAAGCATGAGACAGAAGATAAAAGCATAGTAGCAACTGCACCTTAAGATTGAAGGCAACATAGTGGCCATAATGCATCCAATGAATTGCTAGCACAATGTAAGATGTGAATGTAGAAGCAAAGTATGGGGCAACACTCACATTGGTTTGACCTCCACAACTTAATGTTGACAGAGCTTGAATCAGGTACATAAGCAGTAGCTGTCGCAATGATAGAGTAGTCAAAGCAGTCGAAGGCCTGGAAAGATTGAAAGAATGAAAGAATGAAAGAATGAAATATGAAAGCCAAAATGAAACTCACTGCTACAGCCTGCACTACGCAATCTGCATACCAGTGGAATCTCAGTAGAGACAGATAAAAAGATAAGCGACACATTGCACCATCATGTTCAAGTACCTGGCAACTTTCAGCTGATGCTAAATCCCAGACATGCACATTTCCATCAAGGGAGCCACTTAGCATGGCCTGACCAAATTCTATAAAAGCAACCTACACAGGCACATTGGCTTTTCTAGAGTGTGAAAACTTATAGCTCTGCTGGGGGTGGTTTTGCCCCACTGTATATAGATCCAGGCCATCGCTAAGGTTGGACAGTAGCACCGAAGACTCATCAGGCGAGAGTGCCACATGACCGCTATCAATCAATTAGTGTCCATAAAAGTTAATGCTGCTACACATCCCACGTACATTAATTGATGTCCATGAATTGGACTGATACACCACCTCTGGACACTACTCTCATTCTTGATATGCCAGCACCTAGAATTTTGCTTAGTATCTAAGTTGAAACACGTGGCCACATCTTGGAACTCACACAATGCTATGATTCAGGTAGGTGGCCACCAACTCCCTCCCACAGTTCTTGAATGTTAACACATGGGTGCGCACACAATTATCCAAGGTTTTGCTGGGCTTCTGAGGGGAAGGCAGTTCTGGAGGTATTGGCAGGATCTTAAATGTAGCATACTTTCCTATAGGATTGAAAAATCAGTGTCATCATTTTCAACTGCTAGTGATCAGTACTCTACAGTTCTCTAATTCTTTAGCAATGTGTACCTCAGACCTAAGGGCAATGGCTATGTGGCCAGTGTATGGATCAATAGCAATGGCGTAAACAGGTGCTTTTACACCAGTCAAAATAGCATCAATGGGTTCTTGTTCCTATGGGGGGAGGGGAGGTGTTAGTGGTGAAATTAAATGTAGGTACATTCAAAGGATACTTTACCTTGAAGTTCTCCATGATGGCCAATAAACCGTCGGCGCCACCCACAAAGAGTCTCCTTCTCCATTCCGATGGGTCCCAAGCAAGGCTGGTAATTGGACACCTGGTGGTGATGCAATGCAATGTCTTTCCCAGAGACATATCTCACAAAATGGTATTACCACCATCTCCACCGCTAGCCAGAATATCACCTTGGGGAGCAAATGCCAAGCAGGTGACATTGTCGACATATTATAAGAGATAATTAAACAAAGCACCCAACTTGAATGTCTTAGTACGATCCTTGGCCTTTGTTGTGGAAGAGGTGATTCATTCATAGTATGTTCATTGTTCTAGATTTCCCTTTCATTTCTCCACCCAAAGCCAGCGGTATCTCATGATTAAATACTGTAGATGTGTTCAAGCAAAAAACATTCAAAACCCAATATCTTTTCTTCTGTGCTTTCCACTATGAACTGCCAAACCGTCCAGGACCATGACACTTTGGAGGACCTAACTCTTTGTCTTCCAAGTTCTGAACGCCACAGAAATCAATTCTTCCATAACATCCTGGCTCTATCTGACTGAGTAAGTGATGCGATCTTCAATTTGGAGGTGTTGAATTTGACAGAACCCTGCAGCTGGATATTGGATATTCTGAGGAAAATCAAGTCAAGCATATGCTTGATGGTGTTTCATCTGTTGTCAACGAAGTAAATATTAGACTTGAATCGGGACTCATGCTAATGCACATACAGCTCAGTGAATCTCCAAAAGAGGTTTTACCACTTATCCTTCTCACAATTGGCATTGCAGCAGTCAGTGATTCGATTGACATTGAGCTAATGAATTACTCACACAGCTACAGCTAGAAGAGCACTTCAGGAATTCTTAGGAATGGTAGGCACAAGAAGTTTGTTGATATAAGGGGAATACTTTGAGCACTCCAAATAATATTTTTGTCCAGTAGTGACTCCAAAATGTAACCTTTTGAACAACACATTTATCTTGCCACTATACGACCCAATTTAACTCTGTGATGTCCATGAAGTTAGCAAAGTAATTATTTTTGATGCAAATCATCATACCCTATCAAGTGAAAGTACCACATGATAGTGTTCATCCAGACCCTCAATCTCTGTAGGACAGCTAGCAAAGTGGCTAATGATGTCAATGCTTAAAACAACCAATTCATTAGGTTTGAAATCATCCAGACACAACCGGACATCCATTGCTGAAAATTGTTGATAGGGATCCAAGGCAGCATGTGCATCACTAAGCTCTCTGTACCGCCTAACAACATAGAAGATATCAGTTATGTTTGATCCTCTGCCAGGGTGTGTATGCAGAAATATCTTCTGAATCTGCACTGCACGTGAAATAAAGCTTCCTGCAGTTGGGGCACAACAGGACCTGGCTATTGCCAACATGCCAACATGCCACCATACAGGAGTGAGGTTCACATCTTTAAACTTGATAGACCTCTTAGGCACAGTATGCGGTTCCACTTGAAGATACTAAGAGACGCCATCAACACTAAATATCATGGTGCTCAAATCCTGATGTAAAGTCCCCCTGAAATCTGCACCAAAATAATCCAGTGCAATGTGTTGCAAATCTGTGATGGCCTCAGGCAAGCTGTCATGCATAAGGGAAGCTCTGAGGTTGCTTCCTCCACAGAATGACTTTATAAATGATTGTTCCATTTGCCCTTCTATAATGACATATCAGTGAACAATGACAATCATTTTAAAATACAAACACTAACCAAGTCAGTGATTGGTCCTGGTTTGCTGTATAATTCCATTGAAGCATTCAAAAGGAAAGGCCCACCAGCCATGCACAGGCCCAAATAAATGTAAGCACTCCAATAAGTGCTGAGTTGCATGGTTGTTATTGGTGTACATTGTGTTTTCTCCAAATAACTCAATGGCAGTCTTCAGATAATATGTGTAGTAGTTATCTATGAGCTGAGCATGAGTCTCTGATGTGGAGTGAGTGGTTACTTAGCAAACAGTAATGACAAGTGAGAGGTAATTTCATAAAATTGTGTTGTTCTTCTCCCCTGCACTGGATGTGCCCCACAAGTGGCCAAGGGAGCCCATTCAGTAACATTTTCCGACTTAGTCGGACAGCCAAAGGTTGAGATTCTGCTCAGGTAACCGGGCCATCCAAAGTGGGCCCATGGGTGGGTGGGAGCGGGTGGGCCCACAGTACAGAAATCACCGACACTGGCGGTTGGGCTGAGGTGTGAGGTCCATAGAGATGAGTGGGCCCAAAATGTGTGACCGGGTAGGCCTGCATGCTTGAGGGTGAGAATAGGCCAGGCAGATTTGCGAAAATTTTGACGGATGGGCCCAGCCTGCACATATATATGGGCTCGGGAAACAGGGCAACGGATCGGCCCAAAATGTGTGACCGGGTGGGCCTGCATGCTTAAGGGTGAGAATGGGCCAGGCGGATTTGCGAGGATTTTGACGGATGGGCCCAGCCCGCATATATGCGCACATATGGGCTAGGGAAACAGAGCAACGGATGGGCCTAAAATGCACGACCGGGTGGGCCTGCATGCCTAAGGGTGAGAATGGGCTAGGCGGATTTGCGAAAATTTTGACGGATGGGCCCAGCCCGCATGTATGCGTACATATGGGCTCAGGAAACAGGGCAACGGATGGGCCCAAAATGTGTGACCGGGTGGGCCTGCATGCCTAAGGGTGAGAATGGGCCAGGCAGATTTGCGAAAATTGTGACGGATGGGCCCAGCTTGTAGGCATGCTCGGGAACATGGGCAATGGATGGGCCCAAAATGTGCGACCGGGTGGGCTTGCAATGCCCGAGGATAGGCCCAGCGGATTGCATGTAATCTTGAAAATCACGAGGGATGGGCCCACCGTGGATTTCATCTCAGAAAAGGCAAATTGGCCCAGTGCATATGCAGATGTGGTCTCGGAAACAGTGACGGATGGGCCCAGTCCCCCATGGGTAAAATAACTTCGGGTGGAGTCTCAGGGAAGGCTATGGATGGGCCCAGAACATACTTATTTGCTCGCAAAACTGGTGGCTGATGGGCTGAATGTGCTTGGAAGGGACTCAGGAAGAGACCCTTCCACCCATGAGTGTGGAATTGGAAAGGGCGACAGATGGGCCCAGCACTCGTCATATATCGCCAAGAATGGTGGAGCCCGTAGATTTGGTCTCAGCGAAGGCGACGGGTGGACTCAACTTGTGTGTATTCCCGAGAATGGTGACGGATGTGTGCAGCATGTATGTTGCATGATGGAAAGGGGCTACAGATGGACCATCTGTCATCCCTTGCGATGGCGATGATTTCCGGGCCCATCGGGCAAAGATAACAAATTGGTCGGGTGGCAGACAGAACCTTCATGTAGTTTGTGCTCGGCCAGAGTGGCAGATAGGCAAAGACCCTTACCGACCCTGGGTTCTGATGACATCCCAATGATAGGCCCACCGGGCACTTCCGAAATCCTATTTGCGCCTTGGCGGAATATAGTGTATCGTCCGCGGGCTGACGCCATTTGATGGGCCATGAACATTCGCTGGGCTGTCCGAGATGCCCTTCATTAACGAAGGGTTGGCATCGCCAGACCCGTCCGATATCCTGTTTGCGCGAGGGCCAATTATGCTTCCTCCGTCCCACTCATACGTCTGCTGGGCCATTGATTAATAATCGGCTAGGGCGCCATCAATGGAACCTTGGACTGTCACAGACATTGCTCTTGATGCCTTCCTCTATTTATAATGTTTGCTGTCTGGAATGCATCGGGATGTCCGAGCGATCTTTTGCACAAGACTACGATCTCCGGCTAGAAGTCAACACAACCGACGATGTCCTGATTATGCGATTGATGCATCGGACACAAACCACATGGGTGAGAAGTGGGTTAAGGCTTGTTGCGGTTGCAGACGGCGGTGCAAATGCAATGTACGGATTGGCCCAGAGAGTGCTGATACGGAGGGGCCCAACTGGCCCAGCCCATATACATTCATAGCGCGGATCGGTCCAATGCAGAAGTATCTGGCGCAACCGGTTGTTCTGAACCTAGTGCATAGAAACTCTATGTGCAGATCAGCCCAGTGCACAAGCACCCGGAGGAGCCCAACTGGTCATTCTGGTACCAATTCGGTGTGCGGATCAGGCCCAATGGGTAAATTGTAGGCCAGTATGTGTGTATCTTGATTTGGGCAACTTCTGGAAGGCTCAAGCGACACGATGTGCCACCCATTGATATTGCATTGCGGCAGGGAAAACGGAAGGGCCCAGCTAGTCGTTTTGAGCACAATCGATGAGTTTAATTAATGCATATACATTGATGCTCGGGACATGTTGACGGATGCGCTCAGTCAGTAATATCATATATCAGCCAAGCAAGTAAGTAATGCATCCGGGTCTCATTGGGGCTTGGGAATGTTGGGGCCGGAACACGAACATGCTGTTTTGGACTCTAAGTAGTCAGCATCATACATCGGTAGTTTAAAATCTCGGCAAAATATAATCGAGCACCAGTGGTCCCGGATGTTGATGGTGACGTGGGCCTTTACAAAGGTGACTCCGAATGCGAACTCCCGAATGGATATGTCTCATTATAAACAGAAATTTTCAGCACTGTATCGGTATTAAATAGATTGGTTGTCGCTATTCAGAACTGCACCATGATGACTGGTTCCGGAAGCTAATACAATCAGACAACCACATATCAGGTCATCACCACTTGGTATGGTGGGTGATCACAATCAGTTCCGGATGCACCTTCCGTGTATGATGCTGAATTATGTCGGATATACGCAGGCACCGTCTGGCCAGTATCATGGTGATTCTCGGAACCAAGAGGGTACTCCTATTGCCCGGCTCATGCTTTCGTCCACCGGACTCCTGGATGCACTTGCCGGTACAATAATCTCATGTGAAGATGATTTGCGCATGCTCAGGTCCCAACTTTTAGTTAGAATGAAGCAATACTATGATTTGACAAAGATCTGATAACAATACCACATACACAATTTGCATGGACTCAACTTATTGAACTCGGATACAAATGCAGCACCAGGCTGAACATGCAATATTCTAACAGTACACAGTCCTCTGGAATATCTACAGTACATGCGGGGGTCCCACGATCAGATCTATCCTATATAACTAGTGACTATTTAAAGTTGTCATAATGTCGTCCATCTATTTTAGGGATTCCAAAGATTGCCACCAGGCATCAGATTTGTTGAGCTGTTGCTCTAACTCGTCCAACCGCTGAAGCAGGTTGGTCTCAACTGAACCCACTCTGACCTCCAACGCGTCTACCCGCTCATTGGCGGCGAGGAGATCCAACCTCCGACCGAGGTCCTGGATGCCCTGCAAGATGTCTCTTGCAGTGGGCTCTGGTTCCAGCAGGTTGGTGGGCGCAGGCGATTGCTGGTGTTCCGGCTGTACTTGAGCCTGACCCGGAAGGACCTCCCTGGGCTGTTTCTCCGCTCCTACCGAATCCAATGAGCTCAACTCGTTCTGAGGCCACGAGAAAACGTACCTTTGCTACCAGCAATGCTCCGTTGAGAGCGAGAAGGACGCGCCACGACTTTTTCGGAGACAGCTCGGGACTTGGACATCTTGGGGGTTTTGCATGCGTCAGAGGATGCTTTCGCCGCATTACCTTGCAACCTCTGTCGGACACCAACGCCGTCGATTGCACACGCGATCTTCATGTTGTCGCAATTGGCGCAGGCGAGGCGTGTATACCCGAATTTCTTGTCGGGGAGGACAACGCAGGCTATGTCCAACTTGGCACACTTGTCGCAGCGCCGGGGGTGGTAACGAACGGAATGCTTCAAATTCATTAGCCTGTGTTGATAACGATGCATACACATACTTACCTGCAAAGGAGTAGCGACATCAGAATCCGAGCCCCATTCTGCAGGCTTAAAAATGGCTCAATGTCCGCGCTATGCTTATGTGAGAATCACTTACCCGAGTTTCTGCGTCCAGGAAATCCTTGTCTCCGACTAGCAGAACGTCCTTGTCAGTAGCGACAGGCGATGATTCCTGGATCGGTAAGCTGTTAGACGCCTAACCAAAGATGAATGAACATACCCTTCGTTTCACATGGATGACTCCGGTTGGCTCCTTTTTGACATCGGACTTCAACTTCCTCATCTTTTTGGCAACCGCGTTGGCCCCTTCATCTTCCGCCTTCCTCTTCTTGCTATCGCTGGCTGCGGAAGCTACCTTCCACTGTTCCCTCTCAGCTTCTGGAAAATACAAGTGTCGGTATCTTAGGGGCGGATGTGCTGGACGACCGACATGGGGCGGGTTCTTGGCCGCTCGCACCTGTCGTTTTGGTTCGTCTACCGGTTTAGCGATGACATCCAGGTCCGTTTGGGATGGCATAGAAGGCGGAGTCGAGGGAGTCGATGGTGGGACGATGAGGGCCGGTGGTATTGGGACGGTGGCGGAATATCAGTCGATGTCACGATGGCGGGAATGTTAAATGTGGAGGGGGGGTGATAGTCCATGGTCTTCTCGAATCGTGGGTGGTTCTTTATCCGAGGGTCATCGTTGGTGACGGAGGTCCAGTCGGGGACGTTTTCAAAGGCCCCGCCCTTTGAGTGCTGTCTCACAACGGCGGAAAATGAGAGCAGCTGTGGGGAGAATGATGTAGCATTCCCACTGTATAGTTTTAAGTCTTTTGCCTGTGTCGAATGTCTTAGTTTAACACGGAGAATTTGCAATAAACGTAACAAACACTCACCACACGCCTGGCAATCTCGTCCGACAGCTTTAAGCCCTCGGGATCACCCTTCTTCACCTTGATGCAGCGCTGAGCGAGCGATTGCACGACAGCGAGCGTGGCATTCAGGGCATCATTTGCTACTTCGGGAGGTACAGCCATGATGTCTGATTTGAAAGAAAACACGGTGGTGAACAGGGTAAATACGGCAGATATGAGAAGTTGACTTAGAAAATTCCGACAAGTCTGGATTGTAATCAATCCGGTCGTGAGTAATGCTTGGGACTTGTGACTTGTGGCTTGTGGATTGGGACATGTGGATCAGTGGCAACGGTATTGTACTTGGGAGTGGTTCTATTATTGTCCTATGTAATACTGATAATCCATCCACCAATGTCCGGATGAACCGATACTGCATGTTTGAACGAGCCAAACTGTCTGCCGCCCTGCATCCACCCATCTTGGTCAGGGTGCGATTAAACTTCTTATGCTCATTTTCCCCACGATTTCCACATGTGATACTTCTGAAACCCTATGCTCGGATCCACTGGCCAGAACTTATTTGTTGTCAAAACCCCATTACTTATTCGCCGCCCAGCTTATACAATTTTGTCACTGCATTGCAATTATTCTACTAGTAGCAGTTGTGAATGCATTTGACAAGTGCGGGCAAACAAGTAGCCTATGTAACAGATAACTACTGATATGATTTATGTATGAAATGAGCTAGCTAATTTGGCAATTGTAGCCCAGTAGTAGTGCTGCCGTGGTCAGATTCGGTCCAGTTCAAAGGGTCATCGAGGAGAACCCAGAACTGGACCAGCGATTCGGTTCTACGAAATGTCCGAACCCATAACCAGACCACAGAGAACCGTTCTCTGTGGTCCAGTTTGGTTTTGTTGCGTTCCGAACCAAAACCAGAACCAAAATTTTCTAGTAGAGTCCGAATGCTGTCATGGAAAGGTGAAACAGGTTCTGGCAGGCTTTCAGCCATTCAATCAAAGCGTAGGGCGTCTATGACGAGCAGGTCAGCTCTTTTGTGGGCAGCGAGTGAAGTGAAGGCGTCTACACTTATGTCGGGGAGTGCGAGTCGATTGAGGAGGGATCCCTTTGCGAATAGATAAATCCCAGCTAGGTGAACGCATAGCACCCAAAACAAGACACACTGCGGTGCTATCAATTTCAATGCTGAGCGTCCGCTCAATGTCACCGAATTCAGTAAGGATTGAGAATGCTCCATTTTACGAAAAAGTTGGCTGTATATGAGATATCAGGTCTATGAACAACTTCTTACGACTATATATTAAGAAATTGGCCGGAAGGTTGGATTTGTCTTTATAAAGCCAGCCTGTGCGTGTTTGGCAAGTTCTTGGTACATATGGGCCTGCCGAATCGCATAACACTTGTGTCCCTCCGTTTGTGCCTCGCCGTTCGATGTGAGCCTTGTCAACCACGTGCTTGCTTTGAAGAGGAAAAACTCCAGAGTCCACCCCATTTCATGTTCAACGAGTATGAGTTCTTCCGCCCATCGGTCGCGTAATGCTTTCGTGCGAAGCCAATGAACCCTGTAAACTGTCGTGTCTTGAGCCTCGGCTCGAAATATCCGGATTACAACTGACATACATTCATTCATCCAATCGCTGCTGACAGAATCGCCTTGTACGTCTAGCGACCAGAACCACGGGAGAGTTGCATTTCGCTGCCCCCAGGCATTCGGGTCCGCCATGGCAGCAGTGGTTTTGAGATGGCACTTTTCCATCCGGAGATACTTCTTAAGTAGGCCATGAGCGTCTAGGTTTCCTAGTTGTGCCCGATGAAGGTACAACAATTCAGATGGTGAGTCTGAACAATGTTGGGTCTTGCAGAACCTAGCTGCTATTCGACCCTAAAGGGTTTCTGGACCAGGCTCAAGGCTCAGAGTAGAGGAAATATCATAAAAACTTGCTGATCTCTCAGACTCATACTGGTAACTGGTGAAAAGATTGATTGATTATGTAAGCTACAAAAGTGCCAACATAAGGTAAGGTAAAACAGTCTCTACAAGCCCAACCAGAAATGAATCCCTACATCTCATGGGAACTTTGAATCATGACTGTCCCCAGTCATCTACCTATGCAAACCAAAGCTAAGCTAAACTTAAGAAAACTAACCTGGGGGTCCTCAAACACCTTTTGTCTCCTTGACGCGTATGCCAGGTAAACTGCGCCAGTGAGTGAGGGTCAGGCAATGGAATAAAACGATAATCCCCAGACTTTGCTTTTAGTACTGGAGGAGCAGCGATGCTAAAGTGAAAAAAATGCGATGATGGTTGCATGGATGACGATGGGGAGTAGACGGATAGAAAGAGGCGAACGAGGGCTTCGAAATGAGTATAGGGTTGACTAGGTTTGGTGGAGAACTGAGTGAGAAATGAGGGAAATGGTGGAAAAGGGCGGAAATTGCGAGAAGTGCGGATAGCGAGGGCGCAGGCGGGCGTATCAGAAATCTGATCGGATGGATGGAAAGCGCGGAAAAATGCGGTCAGAACGCGCCTAAGGCGATGGGCGCGCGATCACAGGGCGACGAGATATAAAGAAGGCGCAAAAATGGGGCGAAAATTAGGGGGGAACGCGCGAATGCGAATAGCGAGCGAACGGCTGAGCGCGCGAAGGCGCGGATATGCGCGAATGAAAGCCATGAACGAGGGCTTCAAAACGGATATAGGGTCGATGGGGTTCTGATGCGAAATGGGCTGGTGAAAGTGCGAAAAAGTGCGGAGGTGCAAGAGGGAGGAGGAGGAAGGGGTATGGTGCAGGGCAACAAGGGCTGGTCCTATCAAAAAGCGGATTGGGGCAATGGACAGAGCCACTGAGGGATGGTAAATGGCCAAAAGAGCTAGATGAGACAGGCCTTTGAGCACCCAGAAAACCCTTATCTCCCCTCAACTTCTCAAAAACACCAAAAACTCAATATCTCCACAACTACTGCTCCAATTTCGATGAACCAGGGCTCAAAATGACCGGATGGACGAGGGGAATACGACCCTAAGTTTGCGAGAGATCCGCTCGAAAAACGCGTGGGAAAAACACCTATCAGTGCGCTGGGGAGGAGAACAAAATGCTGAAAACTGGGGATTATGGGAGAAGCTGGTAAGGAATGACTGTGGTTGGATAATAGGCGAATTTGGGGGATGATTGGAGAGCTGGAAGAGCCTAGAAACACAAGAAACCCTCGCGGTGGGCTCCAGTTGAAGGTACAACAATTCAGATGGTGAGTCTGAACAATGTTGGGTCTTGCAGAACCTAGCTGCTATTCGACCCTAAAGGGTTTCTGGACCAGGCTCAAGGCTCAGAGTAGAGGAAATATCATAAAAACTTGCTGATCTCTCAGACTCATACTGGTAACTGGTGAAAAGATTGATTGATTATGTAAGCTACAAAAGTGCCAACATAAGGTAAGGTAAAACAGTCTCTACAAGCCCAACCAGAAATGAATCCCTACACCGACATTTCATATAAATCATCGTGTTGAGTCGGATGACCCTTTCAACTGAATGAACCTGCGTCCATGCCCTCGTTGACTTGGCTTGTGATTTCGCCGGACGCACGGCGGTACGAAAGAGCACAGCCTTATCCGCTAGATGCATTCTGATCGCTTACAAGGCATCGTTGGCCTGACCTTCCCGAAGTGCAATTTCCTGACCAATGAGGTGTTCAACTCCCAGCTCCGCACAGCGTGCTACGCCGAAATTGGATGGCAGAGGTATCACGGTCTTCTCGGGGTAGAAGAGATCCCGCAGCCGACGTCCATGTGCTTCGGGTTCGGATTCTGTATCACTGCCGTTAATCCCTTCATCTTCTGAATCGTCATCCATGAAGTCCAAGTGAAGATCTCTGATTTCATCATCAATGTCAAAGCCCTCGCCGAGATGTGTTGCTGCCACCATTGTAAACTCATCTATTGTCGAACGTCTGCATATATCCAAGGTTTGGGTTTCCGTGGGGTGTCTGCCAAGCCTCCTAGTATCCATAGTCAGCACGATCTGCATCTCTTCTATGGTAATGCCGGATGCAATCCATGTAGCAGCACCTCGTTGCAGATTCCCACCCAATCGGCCTACCCGGGAGGACAGCAAAGCTAGCTCCTGCTGCTTCCGAGTTGGTGCTGGTCCATGCAATCAGTTTTGTGGGGCGGAAGCTGAGAGAGCAGAAACTCACCCCTCTTTAACTGAACTTCAAATACATCCATCGCCGATGGATCGGCGACTCGACATGAATGTGCATATCGGTCTTGTTCTTCCCATGTTGCAATCATGATAGGATCGGCGGTTTCATTGAGCTTGTCAAAAGCAGAGGCACTTTCTGCGACGCCCTTCATAGCTTCCTTATATTTCCGGCAAAGAAAACTGCCTATATCAATGCCATTAGAAAATCTTCACCAAGGAGATTCATAGCTCAACTCATGCGAATCATCTTCATAAAATTAGAGTCATTCATCTGGTAATCAAGACACTCTTGCCGATGGGGAGTCGACATCCCTCTCGCGGCGGGAGAAATGATATTCAGAGGCGCCCACAACGTCTCCATAATTTCTCGTCGATCCTAGCGGCCCCGGTGATAAACGTTGATGCATACCGAACATAGCATTTGTCTTGGTGTCCATGAACATGCCAGAGGCCAATTCCCGGTATGATCTCCATTCCAGAAGGGAGGCTCAAATAGAGGCTCTCGTTCACCCGACGCCGGAAGTGCTTGTTATACTGACAATTAATGTCATAAAATGTCAAAGCTTGACTGAGCCCATTTGTGCGGTGGCTTAACGCGTTACATAGGGCGTAGTCCATATTCATTTGCCTAATCACGGAAGTCACCTCGTGAATCAAAATCGGTGGAATCCTGAAACATACCGTTCGCCCTTTTGAAAATCCACAACCGAATGAGGTACAAAACAGCCGTGGCGGGCGCACGCACACCCGCCTATCCCGGTAGCTTCTAGTTTGTGTCGTGACGCATTGGCCTGGTTTACAGCTCGGTGATTGTTGCACTCGGACGGTTGAACAACGTCTTTGGCAATGGCTAGATGAGCCTTATATCGGTCTTTGGAAACCATGAAGCACTGGTCAATCAGTCAACCAGACTTCATCTTCCGGGTGAGTAGGATGAAGGTGCTCTGCTTTGCAAGTTGCCGTCCATGACCAGTGATCGGGCATATAGCCAACTGGGATCATCGGGGTGCCTATTGGCCGGTAGTGGGGCGTTAATGCCGGGCTGAGGGCAAGCCGGGCAAAAGAGAGCGAGTTCACCGGATGTCGGCCTTCTTCTCTCATAACCAAACCCATTCCATTTGAGCAGCTTCAGCCGTCGCCATTGCCGTGCTACCCTCATCAGTTCTCTGTAACGGTCCTGCGGGAAATTGAGCATTGATGATGTTGAATTTCTATATGCAACACCTACAGGGACTAGTTGCGGAAATATACTTGACATCATTCTTCTCAACTTGTTGTAGTAATTCATTGCCGAAGTTCCGCATTCCAAGTTGTCCAAGGCAAAACCATCCAGCACCGAAAAGGTAAATGCGGTCTTCGGCCAGGTGAAGGATGCCGGAAACATGCCCATCTCAAATAATTGCTTGTCGGTGGTACAAGCATTCAGACAACGACAAAACCGTATCATGAGCGAATGTACTCCGGACTTGTCAACAATGGTTATGCATTGCTTGCTGTTCAAGAATGGAAGTTCGAGTATGGTAGGGAGGTCCTCTTCCGGTTGATATATTGGCTCGTCGGTGTCCTCCCATTCGTGGATTTCCCCAAGTACTGGACAAGGCTTTCCCTGATGCCCCAAATAAATTTCCATGCCCATCTTAGTCAGAGACGTTTCCTCAAAAAATCCTCCATTCCATTTCCCTATCTTATGGAAGGGCAGTCTCCGGTGCTCATCTCTGCAGCACTTCAAACAAAATAATGGCTCGCCGAGACAGTCGTGGCACCTATACACAGTTGACTCAGCACTGCACAGGCAGCATGATTTATCTGCTGGTGGAGCCTCTCGTTTATGGAGGATCCGGAGGTAATCATCAGTCCGAAATTTCCATTCCCGGAGATAATCATTTGGGCTCTAGGACATCGGTCAGCGCAAAACATATGGCATGAACATTGTAGTGCACCTTTGTCTTCTTTCTCCCTAACGGTAAGTTGAGCGCACCAATTGGTTCCTTATTACCAAAGTCCTCATAGTCAGCATTGAAATCGGTTGACGATTGATCCCATGCCCTGTCAGAATTATGTTTTCTGGGAGACTTTGCTGGAGATGATTGCACGGATGGGCTTGGCTGACTGGGTTTGACTGGACACCACTTCCCTTTCAAGCCGCGAGTTGTCTCTGTTGTTTTCCATGTCACCCATTGCGCCGTTCCCCGTGGAGCCAATGTCCTTGCCCTAGACTTGCCCATGTGGTGACTGGAGACTTGTGTGAATTTTAAGACAAGCAAAATTTGCATGCTAACGCTTGGCTCGCTTAATAGCCAAATGAAGCGCAAATTAAGTAAAGGTCATGATTTTAAATAAGACCCCATTCAAAACAACCTTGTCCTTCAATGATGTCCGACCACAACTCTGCCTCTGATTCAGAGTCCAACAAACACCTCCAGCAAATGAAGAAGAGGTTGCTGTCCTGCAATCTTACCTCGAGCAATGGCGCTCTGCTTCTACATCGGAGCGCAAGAATATATTGAAAGCAGCTACAATGGAAGCCCGGACGAAAGCACCAATCATGTCAATTGTGCTGTTCAAGGCTCGTAAAGCGGTGCGTGGCCATTAATTTTTTGGTATATGATATGCTCCTCATCGTTATTCAGACATATGAGACATGGTTCCGCAACCATGCCAAAGCAAAGAAACCAGGGAAACCCCCGATCAAGATGGGGCAGAAATGGACCGAGAGAAGCGTCATAGACACACTCCGGAAAAAGGAGCTCTTGAAGAAAATCGAGGACGAGACTGGTGCCAAACCCGGAACAAAGGAGATGATGAACCATTACACAGTCCACCTAAACCGGCTGATGGCATCACTGTCACCGGAAGACCTTCAAGAAGCCAAACAGACGGCCGATGAATGGAATAGTCAGGGTGTTCCAGATGATGTCAAAGTCGAGATCGCGAGAAAGAAGGGCGACAACATGATCCGATATTTTTCATCAGAGATGTGGAACCGTGCGGGAATGAGAGTGTTCATTTTATCAGCTTGGAAGGATGGAGAGAGCAAGGTCCAGGTGGCCGGGTGTGTTTTCCGACCGCTGTGATCCACAACGTCTCACCCCACAGACAGACATGACTATAACCAAGAGTTCGGTGGTGCCGAGTCGTTCATGAAGAGTTACAACTGGAAAGTGATTGAGCCAGAATGGGACGCATATGCCGCCAGTGTATTCGGTAAGCCACTTCATTATGTATCCGGTGCAAACTAACTGCGATCAGAGGGCGATGTGGACGAGAATCCGGCTGCTCAGAAGAAAGGCAGACAGGACAACACGTATACCCTTGACATCGGAGATGATGGATATCCTGTAATCCCTGAATACGTATCCATGGACTTAGATACAAAGAAGGCAGTTGTCCGGGCATTTTTGACATGGCACTACAGTGCGTCGATTTCCTTCTTCCGGTGAATTCAGTGACTCAAACAACATGAAGGGACGTGCTGTGGGGACCCTAAAGTTTCTATACCACGGAAGTATGTGATACCCAGGTACGACAAGATCATTCCCGTACAATATCTTCCGGAAGGTCACAATCTCGCCAAGCCATCAAAGCTCAGGCAGGTCCACGCCACAGAGCTTTTACGATTTTGGTATAGGAGACAGGAAGAAGGCGAAGAGCACGTCTTCGAATTTACAGGATGGTGGGACAATGATAGCCAGGATATCGTCCTTGCGACCGACCACAATAGGCGTGTCACAAGCCGGGCACAGCCAACCACCCAGACGAAGAAGCCATCAGGATCAAAGTCGAAGAAGCATGGCCATCACGGGCAATCCACAGGTGGACAATCTTCTGGTAAAAAGGGGAGCAACGATGAGCCGGCCCCTGCACATCGTTCCGGAGTCAAGGCAACGAAGAGTGCCTCATCTACCACTCCCCAAAACCAGAGCGAGGGATCTAAGAACAAACGCACGTCTTCCGACAAGGACATAGATTGTATCGGGACAACCAATGAGTCCTCTGCTGAACCATCTGAGCAATCAGATGATGATGTACTGCCTTCACGGAAAGGAAGGCAGTTGAAGGGGAGGAAGTCGCATACGGGGTTGCCGAGGCACCGCTACCGAGCGTCTGTCATGAGTAGCAATGACTCTGACAGTGAGGTCGAACAGAATCTCCCTCAAAAGGCCCTTGCACCTTCAGACAAACATGTCAAGATGGATATGGTAAAAAATAGCAAGGCTCGGATCCTCGATATCAGCTCGACAGATAGCAGCACGATAGATGATGTCAAACAGACTGCAAAGTTGACTGCACGCGAGGGATCTAAATCCGGTGTCACACGACCGGTGATACCGCTGTAGAGACTCGCGCGTCTCAATGATGAAATATCCGGCCTTTAACCATACATTCCTATATGTTACAGCTCTACTCCTAAGGACCAGTCTCGCGCGAACTCGCGCGCGCCTTATCCGAACTCGCGCGCACTTAGGCACGCCTTACCTACGCACGCGCTATGCGCGCTTCGCGCGCCTCCTCATAGGTCTTCGCGCTATCGTCCATCCATCCGTCCCATGTCCTTACTGATTCGCTGGTGCGTTATTTCTATCTTATCCATTGAACTAATAAAATCTTCGGTCCGACATCCGCGCTACTTATGGAAAGTTTATTTAAACTTAGTTATAATTAGAGTTGATATGGTTACTCGGTTCGGGAGCGCGCTCGGAAGCGCGCCTTCTCCATTCTTAAATACAGAAGGGTTTCCTTTGGTTCTGGTACTTACTTTTCCCTTATCTTTGTGTACTGGAAAGTGAATAGATCACCTCCCCACTTGTTATCTGATCATATCCTCCTGTCAATCCTCCACCTTTGCACTCACTCCTCAGTAAGATCTTGCCTCTAACGCTTTAGGCGCGCCTTCGCTTCGCGCGCGCATATTCTCGGACCTCCCGCTCACGCGCGCATCTCGCGCGCCTTATCTTCTCGCGCCTATTAGCGCCCGCCTAGCTCACAGAGTTTCCCTCCACTTTATTTCGAGGAACTTCTCTCAGTGGTTGTCCTTTGGGTCGAGTCGTTGTCTCGTATCCCGGTCTTGCTGTTGAGCACCCCTTTAGTTTTAAGTGTTTTCACGTATAGTCAAGATTCCTCATCTACAACTGGAGCCCACCGCGAGGGACACTTCTGAGATAGAAGGTCGGCGCCTCAGACCCAACAGTCGCCGCATAGCCAGAGAAGAAGCCATCGCCGCATTTGACAGAGCGGTAGAATCCATTATACCAGGACCCTTATTCATTCAACACACGCGCGGTCGTTCGTGCAATATATCAGAACCTCCGCGACCAGATCCAGCACTCTTCGCGCGCGCGCCTAGACAACTGATATCGCCAGTCACGCCCTCGCCTGAAGAATCCGTCAAGGAAGAGTCATCCGACGGCTTCGAAGCAATAGATAACCCAAGGAGCCAACTTCCCGGAGCATTCCTCCACACGCCCAATCAACCTCCTTTTAATACTTCTAACCTGTCAGCGCTAAGCGCGCTAACTGAGCTTGACGACTCTAGCGACACTCCACTTAACGCGCCAGTAGTTCCTACACGCGAGAACGCGCTTCCTACAACGGGAATACCTAAGATCAAGCAAGAAGCTTTAGAAACCCCGCGCGCGCCATTTTCAATCCCAGGCGGTACTGTTATATCAAACCTTCCCTTCGCGTACGCGCGCCAAGCACCTGTCAGTCACAAGATCCCCGCGCCTGCAATTTCCCAACCGCCCGTCATGTCCACAGTAAGAACCAGAATGCCTATCCGTGGAACAACGGACGCGCCTAAATTTGATGGCACAACCGACAGCCTCGCTGACTTTATCGACCTATACGAGCAGCTCGCTGACGACGTAGGTCTACAAGGTCTCGATCGCATTAAGGGTATCATCCGCTACCTTGAGCGCGATGACCGAGAATTATGGGGCGGAATGCCGGAGGCGCAAGTAAGCGATTACAATGCGTTCATGAAAGAAGTCAAGGTAATGTATCCCGGATGGGATGGCAAAAGGCGCTACGCGCTTTCGGACCTACAAGCCATCGCGCACGAATACGCGAACAAGACGATGCCCTCGTACCAGGAGTTAAGCAACTACCTTCGCGCGTTCAAGAAAGTCATGCAACCGCTATTGGCAGAAGATCGCATTGGTAAAGCCGAGCGCGATCGCATATTCATGGAAGGGATTCCCAAGGATACTCAGGCGCTAATACGCACGCGCCTAATGATTAAATTTCCTGATCACTACCCGCAGGATCCATACCCGTTCATGGACGTCTTTACAGCTGGACATTTCGTTCTGCCCGCGAATGCGCCTGCAGCAAGCGCGATGCCTAGCGCGCCTACGGCAGCGCCATTCACTAACCTAGTCACAGCTACCACGTCAGCGCAATCGCCCGCGCAAGGCACAGTAACCAAGCGCGAATATAAGCGCGACGCACCTACGTTCAATGACTGCGCCTTTTGCGGCAGTCTCGAACATTACTACCCTCGTTGCGCAGAGAAACAAAGGTATATTGACGCGGGTAAATGTAAGGTTAGCGAAGAGACGCGCAAGCTTGTTTTGCCAAATGGCGAATTGGATTCCAGGCCGAGGATTACTCAAGGATCGTCTAGATCGACATCACGCAAGTCGCGCGACACCGGATACGACCGCTAGTACAGGCGCGACAGCGGGACTATTCTATCGCGCGTCCGACTGAGATCGACACGGTAATTGATGTAGGCTCATCTGCGTTTGTGCACACAGTCGCGCAAACGGAACTCGAAGAGGACGACGAGACGGTGGATCTCATGACAGAAGCGATAGCCTATGTAGCTGCAAGGCGCGACCAGAAGCGCAATGCCAAAGGTAAAAGTGTGCGCTTCGATGGTGTAGAAATACCCAGCGAAACGCGCGCGCGTCCGAGACCTGCATCTAGACAAGCCACGGTAGAGGAGGAGATAATCTCTCCCGAAATACAGGCTTCGTCTGACAAAGGTAAAGGAAAAGAGGTAGCGAAAGTAGCGCCGTTAAGCGCGCCAATAAGCGCGCCAACAAGCGCCAAGGCGCCTCCTAAGGGCGCCTCGCCCGCATCGTCAACACCATCATCGTCCGCGCCAGTATCGTCATCGTCGTCATCCCCATCTCAATCTTCAGTATTGCCACCATCGCCGTCATCAACACCAACCCAAGCACCAGCACAGTCATCATCATATCATTATGCATTCGCGCTCGAAGACAAGGAGGCCGACAAACGCGTTGTCGAGCGCCTTCTCGATTCCAATCTCAATATCCCAGTAAGGGAATTATTAGCTGTATCTCCCGACGTTCGCCAACATTTCCGTGAACTTACGACCAAGAAGTGCGTCACAGTAGGCGCAGTATCTGTGCACGAATTATCAGGGCACCCCGCAACCGACCAATGGCTAAAGCAATACGAGGATGTGCGCATGCGAAGCGACGACGGTAAAATCGTCGCGGATCACTTCGCGCCCCTGCGCTGTATTCGCGCCAAGACATTGGAAGGGCCCACTCTCACCTGCGTCTTAGATCAAGGCACGGAAGTAGTAGTCATGCCAAGGGAAGTATGGAAAGAGCTCGGCGTACCGCTCAGGTCGGACCATAGCCTCAATATGGAATCGGTGAACACGTCACGCGACACGACACTAGGAGTCATAGAGAACGTCCCGCTTGATTTTGGCGCAGGACCCTTATACTTCCAAGTCCAGGTTATCGAGCGCGCGACCTTTGAAGTTTTACTAGGGCGCCCATTCTTTAAGCTTACCTCGTGTCGCACATTTGATCTGCCCGACGGGGAGCAGGATCTCATACTAACTGATCCTAACGTGCGCAAAGAACTGCGCATTCCAACCCTACCTTGGGTCAAGCGACAGCTCGCAAGAGACGCGAAGTGCGCGAGTCACGCGCATTTGCACGCGCTCAAGGAGGAGGAACAGGGTTTTTAAGTATCGATGATCTGCAGCATTCGCGGGGAGAAGCCCTTAAGCATTCGCCTTCCCAAGTATTTTCCTTATCGCATCAAGTTTCGCATTCTCGCATCACGCCTAACGCGCCGCGCACAGCGCGCGCGGATAGCGCGTCCCATTCTTCGCTCTTAAGGAGCAACAACGCATTACCTTTAGTCTCTACGCATCAATTTCCTTCCTCTTCTATCCCGCAGTATTCGGCGCGTTACGCGCATCTAACATCCACGCAGACCGTTATAGATAAGGCGACTATCGACGCCTTCAATTCTTTTTATTATTATGATCCCGTACTTCACGCGCTGGTTTATAAACCAGTCGCGAAGAAAGTGCGTACGGTACCTACCACTATGCCCGCAGAGTATAGGGTAGTGCGCCAATTGCCAGATGACCCGTTAGCAGGATTACCCGACTTACCTACCCATCCCCCAGAATTCACGCCAGGCGCGCGCAGATAAACTAGACCTTGACCCAGCAAATTGGCTATGGCCAGAAGAACTCAAGTTAGTGCGCTGGCTCGTGCGCGTACACGAACTCGCATTCGCATGGGACGCCTCAGAGCGCGGGCGCCTCAACGAGACCTACTTCCCGCCATACAAGATTCCTACGGTTCCGCACACGCCTTGGTCTCAGCGCAATATTCCAATTCCACCAGCCACTTTAGATGAAGTAGTGCGCATTATCAAGGAGAAGATCTCGTCCGGAGTATATGAACCATCAACGGCCGCGTATCGCTCGCGCTGGTTCTGTGTAGTAAAGAAAGATGGGAAATCCTTGCGCCTAGTTCACGACTTGCAGCCGCTTAATGCAGTAACAATTCGTGACGCGTCGCTTCCGCCTTTTGTTGAACTTCTCGCAGAAGCGTTCGCTGGATACGCGGTGTACGCAATATTGGACTTATATTCAGGTTATGACCAGCGCGCGCTTCACGTAGACTCGCGCGACTTGACGACCTTTGGAACGCCTTTGGGTCCCCATCGGCTAACCACTCTTCCTCAAGGACATGCTAATGCTGTACAGGTTTACCAAGGCGATACCGCGTTTATCCTGCAACACGAGATTCCAGAATTCACGTCGCCATTCGTGGATGATGTCCCGATCAAATCAGTGCGAACGCGCTATCAGCGCGAAGACGGTTCTTA